TTACAAATTCTGTGGGGGGGGGGGGGGGTGGAGGAATGCATACCCCCTAGATTCATTATTGACTTTAACCTCAAATTTTTTATAGTACTGAATTAGTTGTTGAAAAACCTACACAGTTAGAGCAACAATCAAGTTATGAAAATGATCCCTGTCTCGATATACAAATGTCAAATGAACAAGAGTTGTCAAGAGATTCAAAAAAGATATTGAAAAAAAATATAAGTATGATATAAATGATACAGTTTTGGAGTTGTTTTATTATTTTGGTTATTTTTGTTGTACTTTTTTTGTTAAAATAATGAAAATTAGTTAAGAATATTTTTTAAATATAATTAGTAGGTGATGTTCGAGATAATCCATTTAAAGTTGATAAGTTGATAGGAACAGCAGTAAGAGGAACTCATCGATTTGAGTCAATCGAAACAAACCCAAGTAAATATTAAAAATATTTTTTAAAGAATTTTCCATTTTTTAAATTTTATATAACTTGTCTTAATTTTTATGTTTTGCATGTTTTTAATTAAAGTGATGGGATAAGCTTATAATTAAAGTGATGGAGTTGTTTAAAATTAAAGTGATAAGGAGTGTGTTTATAATTAAAATGATAAGGGGTGTTTGTAATTGCAAGTGATGGGATGTGTTTATAATTAAACTGTTAGAGTATTTAAATTGCCTACATCTATGTTTCCATAAAAGTAAATGTAAATGTAGTTGTAGTAATAAATGGGAGCTTTCACTCAATTTTACTCAATATTTTTCCTAATGCATTTCCAAAATATCATGCCTAATGTTTTAAGGTACTGTTTGCAGGAAGCAGCTTATTTTAATTATTCCAGGTCAGGTTCAAGATCATCATGATCACACTTCTACTGGTATCATGTATCCCAGTACTACCTGCCCCATGTTTTGCTGTCTTGTAGGGTGTGCTTTTTAAACGAAGACTAGGGTAAACAAACTCTGACTTAAAAATTCCGTGTCTGGGGCAATTGGTTGATTAACGGCTAGAGATGTTGTCTTGATAAAAATATTCATCTTGGGCAGATGTTACCTGCATCCACCTAAAATACCCCTGCCTTAGAGCTCTTGGTTGAGTAAAGTCTAGAGATGGTATCGCGATAAAAATACTCATCTTGGGCAGATGTTAACTGCATCCAGCCACTGTCTTGTTGGAGGCCTCCTTAGCAAAGACTTTAGGGGTAAGCAAAAAAATTCTGCTAACAGCCTCAAACCCCTTCTTCATCTATTAGGCTGGTATAGATGTAAACCTGTGAATGCTGAATCTTCTTAACTCTTCTTATAGGTTTTTGCTTGTGCCTCCATGATAGTGGCTATGCAACTCTTCAAGTTATTTATTGCAAACAACACAAATGTTGACATTCCTATATTAATAAATGGTAACCCTCTCACTGAGTCATTTTCTTTGTTTTCTTGGATTATCATTTAGTACTGACCTTTTATGGAAGCCATATATACAATCAATTGCTAAATTAGCATCCACTAAGGTTGCTTTTCTTTATGGTGCTCACTATTTTCTTACTCCTGATTCCATTCTCTAGCTCTACAAATATCTTATTCGTCCCTGTATGGAATACTGTTGTCATATTTGGGATGGTTCTTCTTATGATGCTCTTTCTCCTCTAGACAAGGTACAAAAATGCATTGTAAGCACAGTTGGATACATCTGTTAATTCAAATTCATCTTAATCTCCCTAGGATTTTTTGGTCTCCTAATACTGTTTTTTAATGTAATTAAGCTGGTTCAAAGATTTGAATAACTTAGCATTAGCTTCCTTTTTTTGCATCAATTCAGCCATATATTTGTGCTGCTTAACAATTTTATCATAATTTTTATCTAACAAATGATTTACACTACTTCATTTCCTTACACCTGCTTATAATGAGCTAATCGAATGTATGTGCCTGCTCTGATTGAGCTATTTATAATTCATCTGCCATAGCTATAGATTCACTTACTAATGAATGCCACAAGTTCACTTAAGTAAGTGAACTTGTGGCATGTGTCCACCGTTTTTTATTGTAACCAAGTTAAACAGTAAATATAAGCTTCTGAATTAGCTCTTATAAAATGCACATTGTGATAGATGCACAAAAGCTCCTTCTTAAGGTCTTTTAACAAGGGTAAAAGATATTCAAAAGATGTGTATTCAGTTCGTAAAACCAAATTTAGTTGCAGCAACAATATATATCAGTGATACTACTGAGGGTATCAGTTTGCTTAAACCTTTTTTTGTGTTTTAAAAGTTTAATTTGAATCATTTGATTGTAGCCTTTTGAAAAATTTTAAAAAGGAGTTACTTTCGCAGGTACATTTACAGTTTGATTCAAAAAATTTTAGACCGGAGGTTTAAAGACAATGCACAATGCCTCCTTGCATATTCTATAAAGGATTACAACATTAAAAACTTACCCAAAAATCTATTGATGTTGTTTTGAATAAAGTTAGAAATAGGAATCTCTAAAACTTTTCTCACAATATTCAGTAAAAAGCTGCATCAAAGATCGCAATTTTAAGGAAGTAGGTACTTATGGTTGCATACAAACCATAATTGGTGGTAATTGTCTACCAGAATAATAAATGGTAATAGTAGTCATTGTAGCTCAAATTACTATTTAAACAGACAAGTTTTTTTTTCTGAACTTATTCTAACTTTTTTTTATTACTTAAGTTATTTTAGTGTTTTATTGATTGTTTACTTAAGTTATTATTATATAAGTGATTATATAATAAGTTATTAAGTTATTAGTATATAAGTGATTGAGATTTGAGATATGATTAAATGTTTAAATTTTTGATTCCCAAGAATATATATATATTATACTATTATTATTATTATTATTATTATTGGTTATTTTACTTTAAAATGTTTATATTTTCAGAAAGAAAATCCGAAGATGATACTGTATTAAAAAAACAACCAACCAATAGCGGCCAGCGTAAGATAATTTTGCCATCCAAAACAAAAGGAGACCTTGCAACTAAAACTAAAGAAAACATAAAATCTGAGGAGCTTCCAAAAAAAAAGTGAAAATTCATTTTATTTTTAATAAATAACTTTATTTATTTTTCTATTTTTATATAAGTTTAATAGATTTGAAACTCTGAAGCTATTTTGTTTATTTAGGGTTCTATTTCTAATATTTAAAAGTTGTGGTATTATAATTCTCAGTTTATTTTTTAAAAGTAATATTTTATTTACAGTAGACTTAAGTTAACTCGTATCCTACAGGGAAATGATTAAAATGTCTAACTTAGCGGGTGTTCCCATTAATGAAACTTTTGTTTCGTCGGACCTTAGAAAACGTTTAATTTATCGAGACTGAAATTTATTTATTTAAAAATATTTAAACCTGTCCGACTTATATAGGGTACGAGCAAATTTAAATAATTATATTTTATTACATTACAGTAGAACCTACTGTAATATAATAAAGTATAATTATTTAAATTTATTTATGTAAAAATTTATTGTTTATAAAGTTATTTTATTATAAGAGTTTAAATAAACATTTTATGTAAAATATATATTTACTATGGGGCTGTCCATTAATTACGTCAACAAATTTTTCGAAATTTTTACCTCCCCCTCCCTCTTGTCAACAGTTTGTCAAATTTCGAGAGACCCCCCTATAAAATTAAGTCAACTTTTGATTAACCCCCCCCCCCCCCCCCCCATATACAAAGAAACTAAATTTTTCGTTATTTAAGCAATGAAACTCATAAAAAAAATTGTTGACGTCAACTTTAATTGACCTCCCCCTCCCCCGTGTCAACAATTGTCAAAAAAATTCAGACCCCCACCCTCTCCCCTATTTTGTTGACGTAATTAATGGACAACCCCTATATTTATTTTATGTAAGACGTTAGCCAATAAATTGAGCAAAAATTGTTGTTTTTTTTTGTTTTTTTTGTCTATCTTTTTTTTGAATTACTTTTGTGAATGCAGTTTTAACCGTTTAAATACAAAATTTTAAAAAGATGTTTTGTGTTTAAACTAAAAAATTTTAAAGGATTTCAAAGCATAAAATTAGTTGATAATTTTCTTTATTACCTCGTGTTATACAATTTACGATTGAAAAAACCTGACATTTTATTTTTATTTTGACATTTTATAGGACTTCTTTTATAAACATTCTTTTATATGTATAGTGTTCAACTTTTATGATATTCAATTTTAGAAGGTTTTTCTAACAACAGCTATCAACTTAAAAAGCACCCACATACTCACACAAACTATAGCCTTGTTTTCTTTTATAAGAATTGTTTTCTAGTTTAGAACAAGAAAGTATTTCATAAAATTTTCAAAATAAGAACTAAAATTAATTAGAATTTTTCATTTGATTTTATCGTTTAGAATATCAGGTTTCCAGCGGTTTTTGGAAGAAAGACAAAACGGAAATCAAAATGACGAAGATGTTTTACAGTCTGCAATGATAGATTGGAAAAAACTCTCGGCTGACGAAAAGCAAAAATGGAATAACGGTTTTGCGCAGAAAAAAATAGACGATCCTAAAATAAATGATAAAGAAAAAGAGATAAGAGCCAATCAAATAAAAAATGACGGACAAGAAAAAGAGTTTAAAGGACAATCGAAAGAAATACACGAATCTAAAAAGTTAAACACAAAAGAAAACATAGAATCAAAAAAAAATTTAAAGCAGAACGGAATAGCTAAAAATAATCAACCTAAAAAAATAGTTGAAAAAACAGGTGGAAAACTAGTTAAAAAGACAGATGATAAAGTCAAAGCGAAGGCGTTAATGGAAACAAAAAATATCAAACCAAGTACCAGTAGCACAGCAACTCTTAAATCATTTGCATTTAAAAAAAATGATACTTGATTTTTCACTTTTCATCCACCTTAAAGCGATCGAAGAAGTATTAAATATGCAAATATTTCTTTCAAGAAACATTTGTTAAGCTTTGAAATTTTTGTATTTATTTATGGAAAAAATTATTAATTATATATATATATATATTTAAAATCTTTTAAATATTAGAATCGTTAAGCATTTCAAGTATTTACAAATAAATTAACTAAGTTATATATATATATATATATATACATATATATATATATACATATATATATATATATATATATATATATATATATATATATATATATATATATATATATATATATATATATATATATATGTATATGTATAACAATCATAATAGTGATGAAGCAATTCAGAAGTACTGAGAAAGTTTACTATTAGTTCTTGAAAGCGTCTACAAAAAGTTCGTATATTAATCTTATTGAATGTTTCTAAAGTGGTTTAGTTACGTTTGTTTATAGACAAGCCATTTCATATTCGAGGTGCATTCATGGAGAATCCTGCGGAAGATTTTGATAGCCGACAAGTAAATTGGCGACTGTCTGATGATCTTGTGCTTTGTTTTGAAATTCTAGTTTCTAGAAATTCGAATAGATATGCTGGAGACAGGGCTGTGGAGTCGGAGTTGCGACATTTTTAGCGGAGTCAAAACAAAATCACGTCGGAGTCGTGATTTTGTTTAGCGAGTGCAATTTCTGTGATACCAAATTCATCTTTAATACGAGCAATTAGTAGGTTGTGATTAATTGTACCAAACGCTGCAGTATCAAAAGTTGATGATATTCCAGTTGGAGATTGAACTCGTTGTACCATTCTGTAGGTCTCTAGAATATTAGCAAGTTTTAGATTGATTGGTGCTTGGGCAATTAAAGTCACCGCGCAGAAGCATTTCTTCGGATAATGTTTGAAGTTCTTCTAGAAGTTCCAAAATAAAAATGCTAGTCGGAATGATTGAATATGATCGATAATTAGCAACAACATTAAATAGTGTTTGCTTGATTTAGTTTAGCAGATGCACGTTCATAGGACAGGCGAGTAGATTATAATGATGAGGGCTTGATATTTAAGTTGTCTCTGTATATTTTATTTTATCGTATTTTTATTGTTTGAATAATTTATCTTTAAAAAAACATTTGCACCTACATATCTATTAGTTATGTAAGTGCATGTTGCACCTAAATATATATATATATATATATATATATATATATATATATATATATATATATATATATATATATATATATATATATATATTATATATATATATATATATATATATATATATATATATATATATATATATATATATATATATATATATATATATATATATATATATATATATATATATATATATATATATATGTGTGTGTGTGTGTGTGTGTAGGTAGGATATATAGATAGAACTATTTGTCAGGTCAGGTTTATCCTGCTACTGGTAACATGTAACCCATCACAATCTGTTTCTTGTCCTGCTGCCTTGTTGGATACGTCTTTTTAGACAAAGGCTAGGAGATGCAAACACCCCGACATAAAACACCCCGTGCCTTGAGGCTCTTGGTTAAGTAAAGGCTTAAGGTATCTCGATAAAAATACTCATATTGGGCAGATATTAAATGCATCCGGCTGCTGTCTTGTAGAAGGCCTCCAAGGCAAAGACTTGAAGGGGAAACAGATCTTATCTGTTGACCAGCCTCACACTACTTTATCTATTAGGCTGGCGCAGATGTATTTTTCATACATTTTTTCCAGTTCAGGATGTTGAATGCTGGATCTTCTTGACTCGATGCATAGGTTTAGCTTGTGTCTCTGTTTTTATGACCAGGCAACACATCCTATTATCTCCTAATGAGGGTGCAGCTCTAAAACTCAGTTTTATGGTTCTGAGGCCGGCTGGTAATCAAGTTTCCCGAACTCTGTGGTAGCTCTTAGAAAGGCTGATTCCATCAACAGCTAAAAAATATCAAAGTACTAACAGTGCCATGTTGCGCATGGATGGTATCCCTGTTTGTACTTTTGGTGTGCATTACTAAAGCCACATTGGAGTCCTTTGTTAAACTTACTTTTCGCTCTTTGCGAGACTAATTTGAGTTCAGCTGTCTTATCCTGTGATCTAAGTGTTGACATTTATCTTCCTTTAATTCGTAAAGACTGCAATAGTCACATGCTTGGCCTGGGCATTTACATTTGTAAGAATTCACCCATTTGTCGGGAAACTAGATTTGAATCTACAGACTACTCTTTTATGTGTTTTAGTTTAGCAACACTTCACTCTATCACCTTTCTCTTTGTTTAATATCGCTCTCCTTCATCTCAAGATTGCACTCTTCTTGATGTTATTTCTGATCAAATTGACCAAGCCCTCTCTCTTTATCCATCAGCCAATATTGTTTTTGGTGACTTTAATGCTCATCACACTGAATGGCTTGGCTCTAGTGTCAGTGACTCTGCAGGCATTAAAGCCCACAATTTTTGTCTTTTTTAATCCCTAACTCAAATAGTCAACTTTCCAACTCACAGAGTATTTCCAACTCCAGACAACCCGAATCATTTACCTTTTCTACTCGACTTATGTCTTGTTTCTGATCCTAGCCAGTGCTCAGTTTCTCCATATTCACCCTTAGGTGCCTCTGATCACAGTTTGATCTCTCTAAAACTATTATCTCATTCTTCTTTAACATCAGAATCCCCCTATCATTGTACATCTTACAACTACCTTGAAGCTGACTGGGACTCTTTTCATGATTTTCTTCGTGAATGCCCTTGGGCAGAAATCTTTCGTCTTCCTATTGACAGTTGTGCTTCTTACATAACTTCGTGGATTTAGGCTGGTATGGAATCCTTTTTTCCCACTCAACAATTCCAGGTCAAGCCTCACTCTTCTCAATGATTTTCTTCACATTGTGCTGCTGCAATTGCCAATCAAAACCATTTCTTCCATATCTATCAGCAAAACAATTATCCAGAAAACAGACGTCTGTTTATTACTGCCAAAAACCATTGTAAAAAAGTTTTGTCTAACGTTAAAGCCCGCCATTCTTAGGTCATAAAATTTCGTATTTTATCACAAAAATTAGGCTCTCGTGACTTTTGGAGAATCTTTAATAGTATCAATAATAAGGACGAATCGGTAATTCCACCTCTCTTGTATGGTTCAGATTTTGTCACCTCACCAAAAAACAAAGCTGAATTGTTTGCTAAAAACTTTTCATCAATATCTTTTGATTCCACTAGTTGCGTTTTACCTGATATAGCTGTCAAATAGGTTGATCCATTGTTTGACATTGGTATCACTTCAGTCTCTGTATCTAAAGTGATTTCCTGCTTAGACTCTTCTACAGCTTGTGGCCCGAACAACATACCTGCTATAGTCTTGAAGAAGTGTTCTCCGGAGCAGTTGTCTATCCTTTCAAAACTATTCATTAAGTGCTTATCAGAGTCTTGTTTTCCAGCCTGCTGGAAAGCAGCATCTGTTATCCCTATTTTCAAAAATTCTGGAGAGCGATCTGACTGGTCTAACTACAGTCCCATTAGTTTTCTTTCTATCATAAGCAAGGTTTTGAATCTTTAATTAACAAACAATTAATCTCTCATCTTGAATCTTATAACTTACTTTCTGATCATCAATATGGATTTTGATCTTCTTGTTCTAGGGCTGATTTGCTAACAGTAATAACCGATAGGTTTTATCCTGCATTAGTTAAAGGTGGAGAGATTAAGACCATCGCTCTTGACATTTCTAAAGTGTTTGATAAGGTTTGGCATGCTGGTCGTCTCCATAAACTTTCTTCTTACGGTATATCTGGTAACATCTTTAAAATTATTGAATCCTTTCTTTCCAATTGTTGTATGAAATTTGTCCTTGATTGACAACACTCTTCTTCTTATTTTGTAACCTCAGGGGTTCCTCAAGGTTCAATCCTTGACCCTATACTCTTTTTAATTTATATTAACGATCTTTTAGATATTTTCACACCTAAGGTAGTATTGTTCGCTGATGGTATTACCATTTCTTGTCATGATAAGAAGCCATTCTATTACCATTCTTGTCATGATAAGAAGCCAACTCACTCTGATTGCTTGGAGGGGGACATTTGAGCTTGAAAAAGATCTTACTTCTGCTACAGCATAAGGCTCACAGTAGCTGATAAACTTTAATTCAGATCAAACTTAATTTTTTTCTGCGAATCGTTAACGCAATAATTTAGATCTTCCTATATTTATGAAAGGTAATGTACTTGATGAGCCATCTGCCTTTCATCTTCTAGGATTAACTCTTACTTCTGATCTTTCTTGGAAACCATATATCAAATACGTTGCAAAATTAGTATTTGTTAAAGTTGCATCTCTTTATCAAGCTCGACACTTTCTTACTCTGGATTCTATTCTCTATCTCTATAAATCTCAAATTTGGCCTTGTAGGGAATACTGTTGTCATATCTGGGGCGGATCTTCTTATGATTCCCTTTGTCTTTTAGACAAGGTACAAAAACGCATTGTAAACATAGATTCTTGCATTGTAATCATAGTTCTTGCAGCAAACCTTCAATTGAATTGTTTTAAAACCTAGTGACGCAATACCTAGTGACGCGATATTAATTGTTAGAAGAAACTGCTGCAATTCAAGAAGGTATTGCGTCACTAGGTTTTAAAACAATTCAATTGAAGGTTTGCTGCAAGAACTATGATTACAATGCAAGAATCTATGTTTACAATGCGTTTTTGTACCTTGTCTATATATATATATATATATATATATATATATATATATATATATATATATATATATATATATATATATATATATATATATATATATATATATATATATATATATATATATATATATATATATATATATATATATATATATATATATATATATATATATTCTGGTTTTTAGTTTTTTAGTGATTTTGTTTTTTTAGAGATTTTTTTTTTTATTGACAAAAAAACAAAAATTAATAAACGGGGGCGGAGGGGTCTTAGTAAGCCTTGGGAGGGTGGTAAAAATTTTCGAAATTTATTAAACGTCTCCTCCCGTGTATTAAGCAACTAAGAGGAGTGATAGTTTGGAGTAAACCGTTTTCCTCTTTGTCCGCTTTAAAATTTTCGCTTTAAAATAATAAGTTAT